ATATCTCATCAAGGTTGCACACAACTCAGCTCTGTCTTGTCCTCTCTGCTCTGCACAGCCAGTTGGCTGGACCTACTCACACACCTCACACATCTCCCTTCCACCACCCCACCTCTTTCTTACACCACCTAACGTCACATTTATCCATCTTTCAACCACACACTATTTTTGATTTGCTTGTTTGCTTGAGACAGGGTTTCTTTGTGTAACTTTGATTGTCGTGGAACTTGCTCTGTAGGCCAGGCTGGCTTCAAGATCTACCTGACTCTGCCTTCTAGTGCCGGGATTAAAGGCTTACACCAGCACCACCCAGCTCAATGCCCCACTATTAATCAGCATTTTTTATTGTCTCTTTTCTTTAGACCTTATCAGATTCAGAGTCCCAAAGCAGTATAATGACTGCATTCTTTTAAGGTCCACTAGGCTTTGATGTCACACAACACTGTGTTTAGACTTAGTTTCCCCAATTATTTGACAAGTACACCAGTCAAGTCATTTAGCCCTCTGATACCTGTTCTATAAAATGGGATACTATCAGCTGAGAAACTCATGGTGAAGATTTAATGGAGCAACAATACATTGAAAACATTTAGCACAGCCGTTTTAGCTCAATACTTTTTGCACGCTGCCTGTGCAAATTAACCTTTCTTGTATCATAAAAATTCCTTAAAATTAAATTTCAATTAACCCCCTCCCCCACGGCTAGTCATTACTCTTAGGAATATTTTCCTAAGCGAGCTCTCTGACGACGCAAAAATTCCCAATCAAGCCAAATCAAAACAAGCCAAATTAAGAAATATCCAGGTTTAATGGAAGATCTGCACTCTCTGGTGGCCCCGAGGGGGAAACCGGGAAGCCGCAGGAACGCGACCCCCGGGAGGAAGAAAAGGGGACCACATGTTCTTCTTTTGGGGGATCATTTAAGTACCCCAGGAGTGGTCCTGACTCCACCCCCAGGGAGGGGTCAGGACCTGGCCTGCTGGGATTTGAAGTCCAGACCAGGCCTGTGGGCTGAGATAGATGCCAGGGACTGGGGCCTAGGCTCCCAGCCTAACAATTACCTCTTAAATAAAAATTAATATCAAGTACAGCTACTTTCTAGACCTTTGTCTAGACTGCTTTCTCGACTCTCCCTCCCTTGGCTGCATCTGTTCTGGACTCTTACTCTCTAACCTTCAGATAAAAATGTCTGCCGAAGCATGTGTTGACTCAGCTGCCTGGAATGCAGCCTGGCCCTCTGTTTCTGAGGAAAACCACTCCAACAAAGTTTCTGCTTCACAGCAAAGTCTTCCCTGACAGCGGTTTAATGATGGAACTTGGTGTGGTCAGGGCTGGGGCTGGGACTGGATGTGTAATGTGTTTTAATCTCAACTCCCTTCAAGTGGTCCTCATTCTGCTAGAGTGCCAAGTCTGAGTTTAGCCCCGCCCCCATTTCCTCCCTTCTTTGTAGGTTTACACAGGATTGGAGGGGGGGGGGCGTAGACATTTCTATTTGTATGTTTTTCCTCTAATTCAGTTTCTCACAGTTCCCATATTCCAGATGCATCCAACACGCTAGGCCTCCCGGTCACTGCAGGGCCTCTCATTCTGTAGGAAACGCTTTTTGCTGTGTCGTCAGCCTTCCAGTTGGTACTGCCTGCCTCAGTGGGGTCCTAGGCTGACATAAGACTTCTTTTCCTGTCTCAGCTAGAGCGGACTGCCGTCAAGTAGCCGCTGCTTCCCACTGTGTGTCCTTTCCAAACCGCGAGTGGAAAGGCTTCCTTTGTGCTTTGTGGAGACTGCTTCCCTGCTTCTCAGCTCCAGGAAAAGTCTCCTGCATGTGCCATTTTTGCCCCCACCTACCTCACTGGAGACGTAGCCGCTGCAATCACGGTCTCCCGCGCCCCTCCCCTCTAGCCAGTGTTCTCCCAGTCCAAAGCCACAGCGTCACAGCATCTTGGCCTCTGTCTCCATGTTCTCCATGTTTCCAAGGAAGTTCACCTCCACTGGATTTCAGCTACGGACAATCACATCCTTAACGAGTTCTTGAAACTCACATGGAGCCAAGCCGTCATGAAATACTAAGCCCAAACACCCTACTTCTCGACAGTGATCTCTCACTCTTGTGTCTTTCAGTTACTTCCTTTGTACCCACTCTCTGATCGTCCCTAAATTTCCAATCCCTCACTCCCCTTTCTTTTCCTGGCTGTTTTTTATTTCCTTTATGCATGAACGTATAACACCAAATGCCTCCTGGCTTCTGACTTTTAGTTTATTTCCATCACATTCTGGCACAACTCCACTCCAGAACTATAGAGAATAGCCATTATCAGCGCCGGCTTCCTCCAGCCATTAATTAAACCTGGTGGTTTGCACTTCTCTCCCCCTGTTATGTCAGAATAGATGCCATTGCTCAGATTTAGAATTCATCCCCCTTTGGATACTGTCTATGCTGACTCGCTGACGATGATATCCTCCAGTTTATACTGACTGATTGCTTTACCAGCTCTTCTATAAGAGTGATGTCTACAAAAGTAACCATAATGTCAAAAGCCAACCATTGTGGTGCGCGCCTGTAATCCTAGTCGTAGTGAGCCTCAGGTTGGAAGCTCAGGAGTTAAAGGCTAGTCTGTAAGTAGTGTTTATGAGGTCACCTTGGGCTACAACAGACTCCATTTTAAAATTAAATGGTCAAAAGAAATGAAAGAAAGAAAGATCCTCGGTTTTTCAGTTCCTTCTCACTTTGCACCCACTCCTTGGTGTATTGTTATTTGTGCACCTTTAACTGTGGGATAACATATTAGTTTAATAAAGCCTGGATTGGTCAGAAGCTAGGCATGAAGTATAGGTGGGGCAACTAGACTAAGGAATTCTGGGAAGAGGAACGGCAGAGGCGCAGTTGTCAGCCAGACACAGATAAAGCAAGATGAGAATGACTTACTGAGAAAAGGTACCAGGCCACATGGCTAAACATAGACAAGAATTATGGGTTAATAACTACTTGTAAGAGCTAGTTAACAATAAGCCTGAGCTGATATGCTGAACATTTTTTGATGTTTCTCTGTGTGTTTCTTTGGGCTGAACGACTGTGGGACTGGGTGGGATGGAAACTTCCATTTACAATACTCCAAAGAAATTGTGTTTTCCCTGTGTACTGATGGCTTATGCGTTGATGAATGCAACAAGCATATTACAGTTCTAAATATTTGTCAGTGTTATTCACCGTTATTTTTCATTTAAAAGTTGTTAGAGAAGACTTCAAACATGGCAAACATATACTGATAAATGGACTAGTGTCATGACAATCACTCAGCTTCAATAATTACCCCCCCACATTCAATCTTATTTTTCTGTATTCACAAGCTCTCCCTTGCCCAAATGGCTTATTTTGAATCACTGACATCAGTAAGTTTTCTGCATTTGATCTTCACCAAAAGGTTGAGAATCAAATGATATATTTTATATAAATATTCTTATATGCATTCCTAAAACATAAAGCCATGAAATAATTATATCATCATTTATAAAGATTCATGAGTGCCATTAGGTAGTAGTCATATGTCTTTGAAAGCTTCCTGACCATTCAAACAAGCTGTCAGCTTTAACTAAGATCTCTGTAAGAGCCCTATTTTGAAATTATTTGAAAAGTCTCAAGTTTGGTTTTATTCTATTTTGTTTTGATATACAATTTCCCTCTACATTTGGTTTCTGTTTGTTTGCTTTCCTTTTGGCTTTGTTGTAGAGATGAAATTTATTGTCTTGTCCATTCCCCTACAGCCTGGCAGGGCTGCCTACGTACCTGTGGTGTTATTTATTGCATTTAATTTTAGGGAGCTGAAGACTGATAAGATTCAGGACTGATCTGGTGTGCAAGCCCTCCATGAAAGTGATGTATCTATATACTAATTACAGATTTTTTTTCAATTTTCACATATTATCAGCCATAATCATTACTGCAATCATTGAGAGTTGTAAAACACTAAACATTCAAATTTGTTTCGTATTTCTGTATTGGTTAGAATGTGTCGACAAAGGAAAACTGTCACCAACCATTTTGTAAGCCTGGAGCCCCAGACTTGTGGAAAAGGTAAGACAAATGCTTCCCTCTTCCTCTTCTTCCTTCCAAAGCCGACTTGCCTATTCTTTTCCAAAAGTAACCAATAAGAAATTTATGTTGGTCTATTTTCTTGAATGCGCTACACATTCTTAAAATATTATTCTTATTGATGTTTTGGCCAGAAGATCTTACTCAGCATGGCTTCTAATCCATCGACAAAAACACGGTAGCTGGGGACACAAAATTATTTTGTATCCTGCTTCAGAATAGAAATCAGAAAGTCCTGCTGGGTTCCTGGTTCTTAAAGGACCTTGTGCTTAGGGGTCACAATTTGCGATCAGAACGGCCTTTGCCATAGAGGTGGTTAAGAAATGTGACTAGCTGCCTAATACCTCTGTGGCCAAGCCCTCCCTGCTCTGCCTCCGGAGCACTGGGAATAGAGGCATGGGACATGATGGTCTGGCTTGATTTTTTTTTTCTGTCACAGTACAAATGATATTTAAAGCCTTAGTAACATAGGACCATATTTGAACCTCTAAAGACTCAAGAAACCAAAATAGACAAAAAACAAACAATAAAATAATGAGAAAAACCACACAAACATTTTTCCCATAGCTATAAATGTGTGTAAGCAAATGTGACAGACCCCAGAGAGATTAACAGCGAGATTCGTGTGGGCTAACATCAGCAACATTTGCAAGGGAGGACTTTGGATATATCATTATTTCAATCATTTGTACTTTTTTCAATTAGCCTGTTTTCAACTATAACTTAGACATTTACAATAAGCATGAACTTTGAAAAGACCTTGACACCGTAATCAACTCCTGGACAGATGGAGCTCCCTACTGAGACAGTGGACTGCCTCCTTCTCAATGTCAGGTACAGTTATCCTCTGCAACTCCCCTGTGGGGAAACCTCTCCCCCTGTGTATTGTGGGAAAGTTTCTATCAGGCATCCTTACCTTTGTGGTCCACAGTTTGACGGTCCAGTCAAATGATGATGTGACAAACAGGTGAGAAAAGTCGATGGGCCCCACTGCCATGTGGCAGTTAATTCCTGTCACTGGCCCTTGGTGACCTTCAAAGACCTCACCTATGCCTGCTTTGCTGCGGGAGGCAAATATTCAGCATTTCAGTGTTCTTTGCAAAGCAGTGATTGATTCAACACAACAGAGTTCATCTCTGTTAGAACAACCATATGTGATCTAGAACACAGCGCTCATCCCTGTTAGAACAACTGCACACGATCTAGAACACAGCGCTCATCTTCATTAGAACAACCACACATGATCTAGAACACGGCGCTCATCTCTGTTAGAACAGACACACACGATCTAGAACACAGTGCTCATCTCTATTAGAACAACCATACACAATCTAGAACACAAGCATTTCCATAACAATTTTAAGAGAAAGCCATTTATAATTAAGAAATCTTCAGAATTTAATGAGAAAAATTGATCATTTATCTATTTCCAGGGCCTTTACAGATTTGGTTACTTTTGGGAAGCTTTTGTGCTGAAAAAATGCACTTGACTCTCAGGAGTGTCCTTATTTTTGCTGCAGCAACGCCTGAGATGCGCAGGCCCATTCGTGTGCCCACGAAGTTTACTGGCCAGCAATAATATTGGAATCAATAGCTATTTATTCCTCCAAGGAAATTTCTTATATTAAGTAGACATATATAAAAAAATGTAACAACTGATAAAACCTTTGTTACTTCAAAATAATCCCCATGGTATCAATATAATACGGAAAAACGATGCTTTCATTTCATTGGGAACAGAAGCAAGATTAGAGACTCATTTTGTAAAGGCCATAAGGGAAGTTATCTTACATTTATTGATTAAAAATGTCTAGTATTCAGAAAATACTCTATAAATATTTGTTGAAGTAAATAAATAACAAAGGAAAGAGAAAAAAATTATGCTCCTTAAAAAAAAACACTTGAGAAATCAGGATGCACAATTTAGAAGTCATTCTCTGACGTGATGTTTAGCTGAGCTGGCCTTAGTTCCGGCCTTCTTCTGTTATGTAATAACAGTCTACATGTAGTCATACACAACTAGGAAACTCTTAGAAAATATATTCACAATATTATATTTTAAAAAGTCCATATGCATGAGGCTGTAAGTATGACAAATATGTAGGGGTTGTGGAATCTCAATATTATGTCACTAAATGCAAAACTGAATCAGTTATTAAAACGTTTAGGCCCCAGCACCAATACATGTCATTGTCCTGGGTAGAATTTGCATTCGTGAGCAAAGCACTGCTGAGCATCTGCCATGTAACAAGTTAGAGAGCCTGTCCAGTAAAACCGCTAACAATGCTTCCAACATGGGACCAGCAAGCTGTGCCCTGGTGAGCAGGAGCAGCTGATCTGGGAAGTGGCCCCTGGTGGGTGGGGCTTCACTTGTTCTTAGCAGCATCCTGAAGGGGTTTATGGGATGCAAAGTGAGGACCTTGCTAAATTTGTAGAATTGAATTTGCACTTATGTTAGGTGAAAAATAGAACCCACCCACCTGTCCCCTGTAGCCCTGAATGACACATTTAACAGTATTACAGAGCCAGGACTTGCTACTTTATGGCCTTACCAAGATGTGTGTTTTATAGTTCTGATGGATGGACCCACGTCAAAAGCAAAATTGAACATTAGTAAAAAGATTTGTGGTGTGAATTAGAGACACATTCTTTGGAACAACAATACATACTCTTGTCCTGCTTGCAATAGCCACAAAATAAAAATACCCATCATTTAGAAGGCGAGTCACTTAAAAAAATACGAACAAAAAATCAGAATGTGCACTCCAGCTCACAAACGCCCAGAGTGTGCACACCCAAGCTGTCGCTGGATTCCACTGCACATCTCCGTGTGCATTGGTGATGGAGCTGTGGCCACACACTTGACTCATTGGATCTGGGTGCCCCACGGCAATCATGGCATTTTTGTGGATGTTGCAGGTGGTTATGCACTTGCTAGTCCCACTGCTAGCAGTTTCTTGACAACAAGAACCAGGTTTAAACGACACCCATCTGGGGCATCTTTATCAGTACACTCTGTTCAGAGGAGGAGTGCAGGAAATGTTTAAGAAAATTGAATACATTTTTTTTATGTTTGGTGTGTGGGTCTATTCTGGTTTTATTATAGAGATGCTGGACAAGGACCCGTGAGGCCTAACTTCCCAAGTTATCTTCAAATCCTGCGAGCAGGGCAAACACTGCTTGTTTAGAAACAAAGCCAGTGGAAACATCACAGCTTGTGTTACTAGAGTGGAAAAAATCACGTAGCTGAGCTTAAACAATTCATGATTCCTAGTTAAATCTAAATACCCTGGGACAAGTTCAAGAGACGAAAAATCAATTGGCCAAGAACTATGAAAGTGAAAGAGAAATTAAGCATCCCTGTGAATACAGGGGTTCTTTCAAAAGGCACGAGGCCACCTGTTAGGAGCGCCTGGAATCCACTTGCTATGCCTGATTTCAGAGGTGTCTGTCAATGTCTCCTGGGCACTGCACAGCTCTGTGTATATTTCACACTGTGTCAACCCTTCCGATGTGGAGGGAAGATTTTTTTTTTTGTTCGTTTGCTTTTGTTTGTTTTGTTTTCTCTTTCAAGACAGGGTTTCTTTGTGTAACAGTCCTGGCTATCCTGGAACTCACTCTGTAGATCAGGCTGGTTTTGAACTCACAGAGATCCCCCTGCCTCTGCCTTCAGAGTGCTGGGCTTAAAAGGTATATACTACCACTGCCCAATGCCACCACCACCGCCAGTTTGGAGGGAAGGTCTTAAGGTACTTCCATCATTAGTTAGATATTGTCATTTCTTCATTTCTCATTTAACTTTAGTCCTCCACCTACTAACTATGGGCCCGGCACTTGGGCAGGAAACCAAAGATGAAACAGAAATAGTTTAACAAGAGAAATATGGTAGACAAATGACTGACTGAAACAGAATGTGATGGACGCTATTGCAGACGTACGTGAAAGAATATATAAATATTCAGGGTGACTGGCTACGATTCTCTGCGGCCTAATCTGCTTCCGTTGTCTCGATGCTCCTGAACCACTGCTTGCTTTTGTGTCAGTTTTACTCTAGCAAGGACACGGGTACCTCACCCTTTACTGTATTCTCCAGATGGCATCTGACACAGAGTGGGATCTTAGCAAGTACTTATTGAAAGAACGAATTGACTGTTTTTTGTTTGTTTGTTTGTCTGTTTTGTTTTTGTTTCTTTGTTCGAGAGTCAAGAAGACTTGAATGTGGAACCATGTCTGTATTGTATGTTAAACGCTGAGGGTTTAGACAATGAAGACAGAAATCGAAGGCAGAGGGACTGACCCATGAGGGCACATAGAGATGGGTAACACATGGGGCTGTTGTCTCTGAGGTGTACACTGTACATGCTTGGAGGTTGATGGTATGTGCAAGAAAAGGCTGTGATAGGAACAGTGAGTATATTAGACTCTGCGAGGAAGTCAAGCATGCCCAAACATTTCTAAGTCACCAGGGCCCAGACAGATGTGTTCGTTAAGCTAATAGATTTGAAGTCATGCATTGTATTTCTTCAGAAATAAACTATCTTACAAAGCAGGCTGGTAATAATGTAGATGGTTCACCAGAAAGAAAACAGAGAAATCACCTTCCATGACGACAAGCTGTGTAGACGGTACCTTCCTCACTGCCGACCACGAAGTTGTTGACGTCCCCCGTTGGGAAAGCCATTCCCGTAACAGCGACAGGCTTGGACTTATTGTACACCAGCTCCATGCTCTCCTACCAAAACACACCGGTGTGGTTACATTTCCATCTGTCAACCCCTCGCCATGCCAAACATAGCATGGAAAAATCATTCGGCTTAATCATCTGTTTGCTTTCCACACAGCGCTACAAAAGACCCCCACTGTGCTCCACTGCCCCTGCCATCCAGCCTGCTCCGTGTCTCTGGTTTCAGGCCTGCTGGATTTCATCAGCGTGTGCCACCGCTTCCCCAGTCAGGCAGAGATGACAGGTGAGAATTTTGAAACTAACGGTGCAGAAACTAAAGTTAATGCTGTAATGATTACACTTGTCAGCTCCAGGCTTTAATAAAACACATAATACCCTTGTATTTACAAACATTTTCAAAATCAATTGTTCGCGAGAATACACGTGTGTTAATATCAGATGTACAGACACATTTGTCACAGAGGGACTGGAGGTCCTCCGTGAACTGAGACCAGGAGACTGTCACTCAGGTCATAGAAACTAGAATCCAACAGGAAGTAGACCCCATGAAAGGCAGCTGTGGGCTGTAGAGACTCTGAGCTCACCAAGAAAGGTATTTAAGTAAGTGATTAATACAGCACATAAGTCTTTATTATGGTAAACTATTTGTTAGATTTAGAGAGGATGTCAAAAGGTCCATACGTATGCTGTGGTGCTGAAGAGATAGCCCTTAAGCACTGACTGTTCTTCCAAAGGACCTGGATTCCATTCCTACCATCCACGTCAGGAAGTTCACTACGGCCTGTAACTCCAGCTTACGGATATTTGGTACCTCTGATCTCCATGAACACCTCCACACATGTGGAATACCCTCGCACAGACACGCACCACGTCAAATAAGTGTCTAAGGAAGATATGCTGCTAAATTAAGTTTAATGACAACAAAGAACGAGTATCGACAATGTCCCTGATTATTCCTGGCCTGTTTGGTGGAGCTGAAGCTCAGAACAGACTGTTTGTGAAGTTGTACAGGAACTATGATTTTTCTGTGCCATTCAACCAAGCTGTTTTGGCCACAGACTTCATGATTTGGAAATTCTTGCTGATGGGGTACGGTCACACCAACCCTGAGACCCAGGTAACACTGACCATTCATGGCACCAGCACCCTGAGAACATGGCACCGTGCCGAATGAAGGGCAGGATGCCTTGACATGGAAAATAGGAACATCTGATGCTCTGCCATGTCTTTAAAGTTAGTGGTAAGGAAGTAAATGAATGTTGGTTACTCACTGGGGGGGGCAGGGGGAAGAGGTGTAGGAGGAAGAGGGACAGGCAACTGTGGGATACCCCACTTATCCTTGCTCTCCACGGGGACAAGACTATGAAATACTCCATCTCTATGCAGAACCAGGCATCTGTGGGCATGCTAACAATAATAAAAAAATGGGCTCGGAGCTCCCACATCACTGACTTAACCTAAACAAACACATGTTTAATCAGCAAAATGGGCAATTAAAAATTCTCAAATAGAGGGTTTGCTCTGATATCTGTTTATAATCTCCGTGCTCTTAAAACACATTGCTGAGAATTTTAATACAAAACCATAAACTATCTGCAAATAACTGCAGGCCCGATAAAGATCAGCAAACCCAGGAAGCTGAATTGTGCGCTGTTTATTCGCATTCTCTCCCCACCCCTAAAGTCATGTGAAAAGCCTTGCTTTAGTAGCCTCTACATCTGTAGAGACTTAAATGGAGTCTTTACAGTTTCCACATGGCCTTATATATCTCAGAACTAGTCCTCTTCAAAAACTGAATGGGAGACGTTCTAGAGCTGTCGTCATTCCAGGGGAGGGGACACGAATCGTCAGACTGAGAATTATCTTCTGGGAATTTTCTGTAATTTCTTTTTCACATAAAGATTGCCATAGACTATCCCAATGAACTCTCCATGGTTTTAAGTTGGGGGAGAATGTTACGTTTGTTCACACAAAGCCATGTGGACAGCATGAGCATGTCTGCATCCATGCTTGCACACATGTGCATATCACATGTGCATGCTCTAAAAGTGCCACTCAGATACCCGCCTCCAGCATTCTTCTCTCCCCCAGCTCTTTGTTTGGTTTCCATTGCTGGGATCGGTAGTGGTTTGGGAAAACAGGAACCTTCTCATTTTCAGCTTCTCGCTTAGTGAGTAAGGAATGGCAGGAGCCATGCTCACAAACCTTCCAGAGAGGAAAACAGGCGGTTGTCTAGGGTACAGAAACAAGCAGCAGCTTGGGTTTCTGTTTTGCTGGGATTCTTTTCCTCCAAGGCAAGTCCCCCAGAAGGGGTGGCTCTGCTGAGCTCCACCCTTATTTTCATTGCTTCCCAAAGCTGCAGGGTGAATACAGGCAACTGCTCTAATCACGGTGCTTTCAAAAGGATTAGTTCATTTTCATTTGAAACTGACCTAAGGATTAACGTAGTGCAATAATGACATAATTTGTGGTAGAGGAAATAGGTTTTGGCTTCAAGGGCCTTTGGGTCTTTGGGAGACATGTTGCTACGCAGGCTGGTCTTGGAGCCAGCAGGCTGCAATGTGGAGGAGAGAAGGGACGCACCTGTGGGGTGGAGAGCATGTCCAGGCTCCAGGAACACATTTTGCCATCGGTAGAGACAGTGATGAGGTTGTGAGCATTCTGGGTCCCAACAACATTGACACAGTACACAGGATGCTGTAAAAACATCAACATGGAGGATCAGGGGCTGCTGCAAGCGGAAATGACTGCACCTGAGTGTCAGCGTTACTCTGACAAGGGCTACAGAGTGACATCCTCTGACTAGCATGATCTTCCAGTCACTTGCCATTTGTAAGACTAATTCTGTAGAAGTCCCGAACCAGCTACTAATGTGGAAATACCTACAGCGCTTCACCTTGTGAAGTTGGATGCAGTGCAATAGAACTGAAGGGAATGAGAACCAACGGCTGCTGCTGGGCAGGAGCAAGCTGGGAGCCGGGTTTGGATTACACAAGTAAGTCTACTACATAGCATCGCTTCTAAGCTCAACGTGAATATGAAGAGACAGCTTTATAGGCATAGAACTCTAGCCTTGGAAGACTGTATTACTAAGTCTGGAGTTTGATGCATTCTAGCATTCTAGCCAGTGACACACATTTGATGGCATTGTCTTTAAAAACTGGTTAATACTCACTAGTTTAACTTGAGGAGGGCTGTATTGGTGGTGGACTTACTGCAATAGTATACTTAGTGAGAGAGAATTAGGGCTTTCTTGCATATTATTTCAAAGTCTAAGATGAGAGGTTTATTTCTCAGAATATCAGTTGGAGTTGTACAGAGGCTTAAATTCGGCCTAAGCCTTGACAGAGGTCATTTATACATCCTGGCAGATGAGTAGAATGCACTAGCCATCTGTCAGGACTCTAGAAGCTAATCCTGTTCTATAGAAGTCTACACAGTAGGCTAAAACCATTTGAAGCTGCTCACTAAACACTAAATGGGAGGTTAGAATAAGCAGAACCTAGCGGCAATTTGGGTTAGATTTCCGGCATCTTAGCCACAAGTGGCCAAACCACAGCTTACTCGATGCTTCTCTGTACAAACAGCTGACAATTGAAGCTGGCCTCTTGATGAGTTAGTGTCCATAATACCTAGCCACAGCTACAGTGAAACAGATTCAGTCCTTGGAAACTGGCACTGTAGAAAGGATGGCTCAGAGACTATTATTATCATATAAACCCCTGGTCAGAAAGAGCAGCAATAATCACTGAGTGTAGCTTCTTGGCTGCCTCTTCCTAGAAGTCATCCAAACTCAGCTGAAATACCTTTCCTACAGGGTAGTCGGTGTTAGCATTAACCTGAGGGTTCCCCTCTAGTAGCTGTGATAAAGAAAGTTCAGTGCATTTGAGTCAAAACAACGCAACTATTTGAACATTTTTAGATTACTCTTTCATATCCCACTTTTAATCCCCAGATCTTGCTTTAGGCTAGCCATCCCTAATCCCCTCAAATCTTCCTGGGCTACCTAGTTCTCAACATTTGTTCATTTCAATCATTTTTTTTGTTGAATACACTGCCTTTTATCAGAGTTCCCTAAGGGTAAAGTTCTGAGAACAATACAGGACCATCTACCTGCATTTTGACTGTACAATGTAAAAATATGTGTAGCAATGATTTGCCATTTTAAATACATTGAAACATAAGCCATGTTAATGCATTGCTGGAGTACACTTTTTTTTTATTACCATTCTATTGCCTTTTACCAATGTTGATGGAGTGGCATTCAGTTCCTATGTCTTTTTCATGTTCCAACTGACACTTTCCCATCATTGGCATCAATGGGTCCACCCAATGGTAAGTACAGCAGATATTTGAAAATAAACCTGAGACTGTAGTCAACAGTCTTTTTTAGGTCTTTGGTATTTTGGAACCCAAAGCACTGTGTCATGAAACTTAAGTGATGAGTTATCCAGCAGACCAAGGCCAGAGAAGAGAGCAAATGGAAAAATAGACTCACTTAAAAATATCAGATTTATGCAGGATTGCATTTAGGACTGAGGTCGAGGTAAGAGCCAGCATCTAACTGCTTTCCTTTTCTGTTCTTCGGGTTGACCCATCCCACCTTCCTTTCAAAAAATGGTGCATGCCAGCATACCAAAAGTCATGTGGATGCCAGGGATTTGTATTCAGGGCCTAAAATGCTTGTGCAGCAAGCACTGTACTGACAGAACCATCTCAAGAGGCCTTGCACTTCCTTTTGTGAACCATCTGAGAAGTTGATTTACCTTAGGGCATTCCGATCTGCGACTTCATGGAATCTGTTCTATGTCTTTGGCATTGTGCTGTTGATACACTTCTTCAACGGCCACAATAGAAAGGGTATGTTTTTAAGGTGTTTGTTCCCTCATGTTTTGTTCATGAATTTTTATAAACCTATCATTCACTTAAAAATAACAGATTTAGCAAAACTGACGAATATGTGTGGGTGAATATTCAGCATGTTGCTGCTTTACTTGATGGGACTAATCTTAGAAGGCACTGCCCTGAGTTTAGTTTTCTTTATCCCTTTAGTGAAAGGCATGGCACATTGCTGTGAACTTGAAGGCTACCAGGAGTTTTTAGCAAGAATCAAATTGAACTTTGCTATTAACCACCAAAGCCCAACACATATAACCCAAACTGCAATCAGTTCAGAAGCCTAAAGGCATGGGAGGGAAAGGTCAAGAAGAGTCAGAGAGCCAAAGGACCATGCAAACACATCATTACTTAATGGAAAGAAACAGACAAAAAGGCAACAGTACAACTCATTCTTTCCAATAGAATGACAGCTTGTTTTTATTTATTTTAGAAATAAACATGCTGTGTGGCAGAAGGATTTTGTTTTAATTATGATTTCCTGTTGCCCCAAATACATACGTGTGGTGGGTGTGAAAGGAAACTAACAAGCCCTCCGTGGAGAGACTTCTTTTGGTTTGTTTGATCCTGCCATCAATCAGCCAGGCAACGATGGAAATTGAAAGACAAACACAAAACAAACTGTACACATTGAGCTATGGATTAGACAAAACATAGCAAGAGAGAGGCGAAATGTCTTTGTGTTTTCTTTTCTAACAGAAACAGTGCCACTCAGCTTGATGATAACAACACTTGAGTTGTGATGGCCACATTGTTCATTACTTGGCAGAGAAGTGGTAAGTCTTCCAACAAACTCCTGAGTTTGGAATGCCCCCAAAAGATTTTCGCTAAATCTCGGAACAGTTGGATTTATAATTTCTGAAAAATTGGAAGCTTGTTCACAAATGCACCAGACATCCACAGAGAGCCAAGGAATGGTTTTGTGCTACTCGAGGGGACACCTGCACTGTACTGGTCTTCTCTTGGGCCACAATTTTCTGTTATTAGTTTGGAGAAATAGGGTAGGTGAGATCAATTTCCCAAGATTCCCAAGAACCAATTTTACCTGCATGTGTCTTTGGCCCCAATCAATCAAAATTAGGACTGACTTGGCATTTGCCATTTCCCATTGTCAAACTTAGCAAGAGCTGGAGAATTCCCCTCCTCCTTGTCTCAGCTAAGTGACTAGCCACCCATTTTCTAAGCTGGAATGATCTTGCGGCCAGAAGATGACAGAATGCAGCAACAGCATTAAGGAAATTGGAAACAATGCCGGGGCTGTATCCTTGGGCATAATTTTGGCATTTCAGAGAAGGAACATCAGCTACCCTGAATATCAAGGTAGTGGCGATTGATGGAGACATGCCTGTCTCCTTGTCCCTCCTAACAATTGCTCTTCACACCTGTCATTCTCTTAAAGGAAATGACAGAGCAGTTGTCTTGTGAACACTATACTGAACCTCTTCTACTAAATTATGGGTAATGGTTTTGAGATGTTGACTTTTAACCCTGGGGATTATACTGTCACTATAGACTTCACGTTGAAACACTACGCATTCCAGAATTTTAAGCCATAGTACTCTGTCAAATTGCAAATGAAAAAAGCATGTTGGCGAACGTCCCACACACCATCTCTAGGCATGGTACTTTCTCTCGGTAGTCTATTTGGAAATATATGTTTGCATCTCACAATGCCAATGTGAAGAGGCTTTTTAGGTAGGTACAGGAGACCGTCTTCACTGACGGCTTTTGGAACGTCAAAGGAGATCTTCCTAATTTCTAGAACTTGAAGATTGTTAAGATTATTAGTACATTTCTTGAAAGTTAGTGCTTTTTCTAATGTGGCCCTGGCTGGCCTGAAGCTAAATATGTAGACCAGGCTGGTCCAGATCTCATAGAGATCTATCTACCTGTGTCTCCTAAGAATAAGTCAATGCTTCTTTAACCCTCTTTTTTTTATTATTATTATTTTGAGAAAGAGTCTTTCTCTGTAGTGCAGACTGGCCTCAAAGTTGGAATTCTCCTCCCATTGCCTCTTTGGTGCTATGTTAATCTGACTTTATCTAGTATTCACTAAGTCACACTGTAGTCACTTAGGACTCAGTTCCTATAAGTCATGTCTAATTCAGCCACTGTTGTCCTACGAGCTGCTTCTTCGGGATCTGGGTAGGTCACAGGAGTACAGCAGAAGCTTGACTTACTGTATGTGCAGCAGCTGACAAGGGCGTCCGCTGGACAGGGGTCCTTCGATGACTGCGATTGTCCCAGAGGACAATCTGGCCTGAATAGGTGCCACCAACCACCAAATTCGGATGAAAACGGGCAAAGCAGACTGACATCACCGAGGACTGTGTGGAAGGAAGGAGACGAGACATGGTGAGTGTCCCTGAGCTCTGAGGACTGTGTGGAAGGAAGGAGACACGGTGAGTGGTCCCTGAGCTGCTGCTGCTCTTCTGGATAGAAACAATGCTTTATCAGACAACTTCAGTCTCTGCTAGAGGGCAGAAAGTAATGTTAATTTGACCTGTGAAATACACAGTAGGGCATTTTACACACTGACACAGGACTCCTGAGAGGTCAGCCAATGGCGTTCCCCCTTGAAATCTGAAATGTGAAGTCTTGGCTATGTTGTCAAATAGGCATAAAACCTATCTTAAATCCATCATTGTTTTGTGGTCTATGAAGTTTGCATTGTGGACAATTCCCATCTCTTGAATAAAATTATGATAGAAATCATATTCATTCCCACTGAGGCCCCAACCAAGCAGTTCTTTCTGCTGAGCGCAGCTCAGAGGCAAAGTAATTCCAGCTTCAAGAATTTTAACATGTTTTTTTTTCTTTTCATTTTTTTGTTTTTGGCATAATGTAGCCTTCTAGGAAGTAGCCTGACCTCAGAAGGATCCAACCTGCTCCTCCCAAAGCTCCCTCACCTCCCATGGGCATTCTCCATGACCTTCTCCTGCCCACTTCAGACAACTCTTAATGTTATCCTTTGCCTATTTTAACAAGCAGTCAGAACGGGCCTTCAATCCAAATTGACCATGCTCTGTCATAACATCACAGTGTGGCTTCTGAAATTCCACAAAAGACTACTTGGCCCCAAGTTCATGCGAAACAACATAGCTGAGGCCCTCGAAGGCAGACAACTCCCACATCTGAGACGTTACTTTTCATCCCCGAGGTACTTCCCACATCACGTTTACAAGCTGAGTGAGTGTTTCCAATAAACACACATCGCTCCTTCAGTTAATCGCGGTGAAAAGTTGCTGAGAACTTACTATGTCTAAGGAAGGCAACATACTGAGAATGTTGTAAATAAAGGCATAGCCCTAGCTGATGTGAGCTCTACTAATGGGAACGGAAGAAACTCAGGTTCAGATGAGCAGAGCTACTGCTAGTGGAGGCGTGCCTTCGTGTGAAATAGAGAAAGGTGCCCTGGCATAGATGCCACCGTGAGGGCAGTCACATGCCTTGGCAAATGGAGAGGAGAGTGGGATTTGTTTATCTGCTGTGTCTCGAGTGCGCCATCCTCATGCAGGCTACAGCTTCTACATTAAAGGAGTAGCCATGATTGTGATACTGGATCCCATTAAACCTTAGGTGTGTTTGCGTGCGTGTGTGTGTGTGTGCGTGTGTGTGCGTGAGTGTGTGTGTGTGTGTGTGTGTGTGTGTGTGGCAGCTGAAGGTCCAGGGAAGATCAGTTGTAGTTAGAGAAAAAGCAGAAGACTTATAAAGTCTTCATGAAAGGGGGTGTACTAGACCTTGAAGTCTTTGAGGAAAACCGAGTAGGTACAAAAGAAAAGAAACACATTTCCGAGGGGCGAGGTAACAAGGGTGGATTGAAGGTTGTTGAAGAACAGCCTGCTACCTGATTGGGCTGGAAGGGACCATGCGAGAAGCAGAGATTTTGAGCAAACAAGCATCAAAACACTCTAACTGATAAACGAAATAGTGATCAAGGAAAACTGTGACTTGTTGGTGACGGGAAAGCTAAACTCCTTCCTCCCCTTTCTCTCCTTCCTATTTCCCTTTCTCCCTCGACCCCTACCCCTGCCTCCCCTTCCTTCTTTCCTTACCCTTTTCCTTCTTACCAGCATCTTTCCTTCCTTCCTTTCTTTCTCCTCTCTCCCTCTCTCTCCCCCTTCCCTTCCCACTGGTGTTTTGAGACAAGGCCTTTCTCACTATGCTGCCTTGGTTGTCCTAGAACTCACTGTGAAGATCAGACTGGCCTCGAACTCACAAAGATCTGTGTGTCTTTGCCTCACAAGAGCTGGGATTCAAGGTGTGTATCACCACATCGTGCACAAAGAACCCATTTCTTAATAAGAACAAGAAATTAAAGTGGGTCTGTGTTCCTCACAAGACTCCCTAACCAGAAAGTGTCTTGGGCCCTCTGAAGGAGCAGAAAGAATGTAGACTGTTTTTCAATGTCAAGTTTTCCCAGTTTGAATGATTTTCAGTTTCAATTCCTTGAACACAATTCGACAGAGAACATGCCCATACCCCAATCTGGTTTTCATAAAGTCTAAGAATAACTCTCAATAATGACGCTGAATTAGAGAAAAAGAACATAATGCCGGTCAGCTTCTTGTTTTACACATCCCACAGAAACGACTCTTAGTTTTCAATTGATGAAATGCTTATGTTCCTTGAGCTATGTTGGAAACTTGAAAAAACGAAAAAGCTTCAGCGAGTCTTAAAATCATCCAGGTGGTATCGCCAATTGAATTTACCAAAGCCCAAATCAATATGGATAAAGGAATGTCATTCAGTTGGAAAAACCTGGAATTCAACCACTTGATTGCTTCCCTCTTTCAGTTAAGTTCCAGCAAATTCTTCTGCAAGTCTCACAACGGTTTGTTGCTGGAATGAACTGGAGGAGAGCAAACAGTAAGAGGTACTTCTGAAACTCACAGACAGAGCTAACAATACATTAGAATCCACTCCATGGGCTGGAGCTACTTACTTGTCCATTCACTGGCTCCATATTCATTCATTCATTCATTCATTCATTCATTCATTCATCAGACACTTAGCACTGAGATCTGTTAAATCATTTCAGAACGTTCCCAGCATCATCAGGCCCTGCCTGGGATGCAGAGTTCTATTTACTTCAGTAAACCATCAAATGGATGTTGCAGAAGAGTAACCCCACACTGCGGTATGGTTACAATCACCACAACTAACTTGGTTTTTCTGGAAAACAATTTTTATGACATTATTAAAAGGAATAAAAGAGACCTAAACAGAGAACTCTCAACAGAGGAATTTAAACTGGCTGAAAGACACTTAAGGAAATGTCCAACATCCTTAGTCATCAGAGAAATGTAAATCGAAACAACTCTGAGATTCCATCTTACACCTGTAAGAATGACCAAGATCAAAAACAGTGATGACAACTTATCCTGGAGAGGTTGTGGGGAAAAGGAAACACTCCTGCATTGCTGGTGGGAGCACAAGCTGATACAACCCCTTTGGATGTCAGTATGGTGATTGCTCAGAAAATTAAGAAACAACCTTCCTCAAGACCCAGTAATACCACTTTTGGGTCTATATTCAAAGGATGCTCAACCATACCACAAGGACATGTGCTCAGCTATGTTCATAGCAGCGCTTGGCATAGCCAGAACCTGGAAAGAGCCTAAATGCCCCTCGAACAAAGAATGGATAAGGAAAATGTGATACATTTAACAATGGAGTATTACACAGAAGAAAAAATAATGACATCTTAAAATTTTCAGGCAAATGGATGGAGCTATTGGGTGAGGTAACCCTGATGCAGAAAGACAATTATTACATGTACTCACTCATAAGTGGTTTAAAAGATAAAGCAAAGAAAACCAGCCTACAAACCACAATCCCAGAGAACCTAGAAAACAATGAGGATCCTAAGAAAAACTTACATAGATCTAATCTACACGGGAAGTAGAAAAAGACAAGATCTCCTGAGTAAACCGGGGGCATGGGGACGATGGGAGAGGGTTGAAAGGGAGGGAAGAGGTAGGGAGGGGAGCAGAGAAAAATATACAGCTTAATAAAATCAATAAAAAATGAATAAAAGCCCATATTCTCATTTTATCTGGCATTTAGAAAATGAAGTATAGTTAGGCTCATCAATTTTACTTGTCTTCCACACACCGCATCAACCATAGCCTCACATAACTGCACATACTACAAACATTCCCTCTCCCACTTCTATCCACATGAGCTAGGTTTGTGCATACAAAGCTTAGCAGACTGCTCTAGGGTTTGCCACACTCGCTATGCTATTACCATTCATTTGGAAACACCGAGGCAGTGTGGTCTTAACAGCTTACATGTAAAGTTTAGTTAGAATTTGGTCATTTCTTAAGCAGTTCTTAAGACCAGTGTCAGAGGCAATGGTGGCAAACATTTGCATGATTGTCTTAAATTTTTAAAACTTTTCATCCAAAGCATAGATGCCTTTAGACCCACCGATGACTCTGGCAGTCAGAGTTCTTCAGATTTGGGGAATTTTGCATGGAGCAGGCTCAGAGGGGGGTCTGGGAACCATCTGAATCCCCCTGCTGCTCGTGCAGCTACTGACGTCACTGCTGTGGCTGCCTGACTGTCATGGAATTTACTAACTGCCAGTGGAAAGCTCATATGGCGCTATCATCCACCCACTTAGAGCTGTCTGGTAAAAAGGAGAAAAATGCATCTCAGGAAAAGTGGTTGACATGTCTAAAAAAAGAAGATGGGTTATTAGTATTTTTTTTTTTTGCTGTCCTCATTTTTAGCAGCATATTTTCCAAAGACAATTATCTTGGAAAGTATTTTATTAATATTAATGTTGGTTTAAAGTTTGCCACTTTCCTAGACATTAGGGTTGTATGTTAACTCAGTTACTTAACATTGTAATAAGGCATTATTAAACTAAGATTAGGGAAACTTAGGTAAAAAAATTAATTGGAATCAGGATGTTTTCTTTTTTTTTTTTCTTTATCTTTCTGGGCTCTATCAAGATACAGTGGCCCAACCTAGTATTGCATGCTTGTCATCCCAGTCCTTGGGAAACAGAGGTACGAGCGTCAGGAGTTTAGGGCCAACCTGGGCTACATAGTTAGAGCTGATCATGAACAAGAAATCAAACACATGTGTGTAAAGACATTCTTACATTTAAAATTTTCAGTTACTCTATTTTGTTCTTTAAAGTGTTAGGTACTTTCTTTTGAAAAACTATGGATAGCCTGACCAATTCTAACAGTCTAGTCCTGTGAGAGGGGGATTCATGGGGTTGGTGAGAATTTTTGGACAATGTTAACTGTTTCATCAAAGTAAATGTTCTTGACACTCCAGTTGAACTCTGTTTTCACAAAGCTCATGA